ACATATTTTAATTTTGACTAATATTGTCCTAAAATGTGAAGTCATAAAAATTTTTATCCAATTATAACTTATATGTATAAAATGAAAACAATATTCACTGATGTGAGAAAATCTATGGCACAATACTGAAGTTAACAGTGAAATTCAGAAAGAGACACAAAAATGAGAGAAAATTTAACTCAAAAAATTTTGAACGACTCTTATTACTTTAAGAATCTTTATTTAAACCACAATTTTCAGGTGTAATTATGTAGCCACTAAGAGCAGGCACTGTGACTGATTCATATCCATTATATGGAAGAAAAATTTCACAGAAAATCCAGGATAAGCTTTCATACAAAGCTTTGATGAGAAAATTTGAAGGAATAAATATTTAAATCAGAGAACCTGTTCTTTGATTTTAATACATTGAAGTTGTTTAAGCTAGAGGTAGGCACAAATGTGTGCATATTTTCAAGATCGATAAATGTCTGTCAACTTATGCACATTCCCACAGGCACTGGGGAGAAGTTTGTTAATTTGAAAGTAGACAGATGACTGGAGAAAAAGAAAGAGCTTATAGAATTAGAAAGCATGATACACAGGACAAGCTATGCTCTTCAATGATTGCAAGAGAAATGAACTTAGGTTTGAAAAAATCATTTCTATTGATTTATAGCCTCTCAATTAACATTTAAAAATGTGACTTCATCTTTGACATTTAGATCTCTTCTATGTGTCCTTTCTTCATTGATTTCTACCCACTTTGGTATGACTATAGTAGCTTTTCTCTTTAAATTCCAAGGTTATTTCTTTGGGGACAGAAAGATGACTAAGGATGACTTAGATACAGCAAGATGTGTTTATTGGAAAATGGAATATGACTCATTGTGGTATTGTCATTGTAACTACTGTTGTTTCTTAATGCTGTCCTCATTAGAAAAAATATATATCATAGAAGATTCTAGACAATTGTTGTTCCAAATGCTTTTTTCCCCTGGCAGAATCATTCAAATACTTCAGAGATATTTTCAATTTTCTGATTGTGAGCACTATTTTGAACTATCAAAAGTAAAAAGAATAATAAAAAAAGATAGGTTAAATATAAAAATAAATACCTTTAACATTTTCTTTTCTACTCAAAAAAAAAAGCCCAATCTTCATCCTAAAAACAAGAATCTATAACATTTTCATGCAGAACAAAAGCTTCCAAGAAATATTCTACAAAGGAAGAAAAGTAAATATTGACAATGAATTAGTAATTCTAAAGGAAATTTATGCTCACCCAAAAATACCAGGTTTCTGTAGATCTCTAACATCACATCTCTATATAAAGTCTGCTGAGCAG